TTTAAGCCTACTAGAGAATTTTCTTTCTTGTAAATGTGCCTTAACAAAATTTTTGGTATGTTTGAAGAAAATAGTGTAACAAAAAAATTAAATTTAAATTTTTATGAGAGAATACACGGTAGGAGAATTTGAGTTGTTCTTTTCTTTCTTTTTGAAAAAAAAAAGATCCCTTAGGCTCTTTAATCGCTTGCACAACGGACTATCAGCTTAGTGCTAAAAAAACCCTCCTCATAATTGCGTTTTAGCATGAAAATATCGATATTTACGGAAATATTGATACTCAAGTTTTAGAAAATATCAATAGAAATATCGATGTTTGTGAAAATTAATGTAAAATATATATATTCATACTAAAATACTTTATTTTCAAATGAGATTTTAAGAAATAGATAATAATATATTAGTTAGATGAGACTCTCAATTAAAGTACTAATTATTTGATAAATATGACATAGTAAAGAGCGATTATAATATTATAAGTACTAAACACGCGTTCAAAAATTAAGTAAAAAACAAAACAAGAAAAAAAATGAAAACAAAGAAAAGAATGATAAGTTAAGATAAAAGATAGAAAAAAGTAAAAACAAAAAACAAAAAACAAAAAACAAAATAATTGTTATATTTTCGGAAAGTAAATTGAAAAATACATAAAGTTACAAAATTTTATATGAAATATCAATATTTTTACGAAATTTTTGTAAAATTTTCATGATATTTGCTCATTTAACAGTACATTTTTTCTTTCCAAAAATAGATATTTTCATAAGAACATCGATAGTAACGGAAATTCTCGTAAAAATTTTAGGATATTGTGCAGACAAAATACTATACCCATATTTTCATATCCGTACTTTCAAAATACAAAAATTTCAGTAAAAATGTTGATTTTTTCATCCTTAATTTCATTTTAAGCCTAGACTCAATGGCAGAACTAGCCTCCGACTTCAATAAAGTATAGTTTCGTTTTTTAAGAAATAAACAAGAAATATCTATCACAATTTTTCAAAAGCTAGTGAGAGAAGCACGTGCAAGGCATGTGCTTGCTTTGATAATGTAAATTGTGAACCAAATATGTACCAAAATAAGCATGATCTATTGACAGGTATATCATAATGTGCAATATTATCATTGTTAAGAGAGTTTCTTATTTGTTGACGTTTCTAATCTGCATGTTGTGATTGTTTACTCTGAATATGTTAGGAAGCACCAGCGAAGCAGTTGAAAAGAGAGTTACCCAAATTCGAAGGCTTGTTGAGGCGCACTTTGTCAGAAAAATGGCTTGAAACCTCTTTTTTTCATAGTACTATTTTGAGGTTCGATTTTGAGTAGAATTTACTTCGTATTAGTGATGACTCAATTTGAAATTGTGTTATCCATTGTGAAGAGATCGAATGATATATTTGTATGCTCAAAATAATGAATGAGTGAATAAGAAATTGACTCTTAAAGTGCTCCCATAAAAACAAAAAATAAAAACTAAAGAAAAATTTTTACGAGGTTGGGAAGTCTCTTGTCCTACATTGGAAATAAACAAAGCCAATTATCTCCCGTGAGCCCTATAAAACCCCCCACTCCTCATTGGAGACACACTAGAATTTTAAAGTTCTCATCTCCTGTGAGGAAAAGTTCGCAGGAATAACATTGTTGTGCGTCGTTGCTACTACTGAGTGAACTGTGTGATACACAAGCTTTAGTATTTTTTAGTTCAAAAGTTTTATATTTTTTTCTGTAATATATATCTATGTTGTCATTTTTTTCATTGTTGAAACTAATATCATATTTTTATGTACTCTGTTCATCTATATTATATATTTTGCCTCTTAACTTACTTTTATTATATTGTAGCAGAAATGTTACTAGCCAGCTAATAGGAAGATGAGAGTTCAAAGTAGATATAAGATATTCCTAGCTATTGTCACATCATCTGGGGATGAAGTTACAGAACAGAAAAATCAACGATAAAAAGAAAATGAAGAAATCACATACAATTCTTAATCTAATTTTTATAAAAATCGCCAACTAAATGTAGCAACTTGTCATAAGTTATGGTGTCCAATCCATAATAACTTTTCAACATGATAAAAAAATATCTCTCTATTTATCTCTCTCATTCTTTCCACTACAAAAATAATTCAACCTTATAAAATTTTGATGATTAGTTTGACAAATTACAATAAGTCATAGTCATTTAATAATTCACAAATCATACTACAAATTTATAAATAATAAATTATCTTATTGTGGATAGATTATAGATTCAACAAACGCAAAACCCACAACAGTTTAGAATTTCTTATTCTTTCAATTATATTTGAGACAAAAAAAAAATATCCTTTTAAAGTGCATGAGTCTGGATTTTTACACTTAATTCTTAATTGATATGCTTTTTAGTCAAATACTATATTCGTCAAAGGAGTATTAATTAAGAGTAAAGGGTTAAAATACAGATGATGCACTCTAAAAGTAAGTTGAGTAATTTTCTCTTTATATTTTACAAGACTAATGGCATGTTTAGTTCACGGGTTCAAGTCAGTAATTTTGATTTTACATTTAAATTTTGTGAGACAACCCATTGGCAGAACTCTTTTAGTTCAATTTTTTTTTTGTTTTTGTTTTTGTTGAGAGAGCAGAATTAGAATCATGAATTCAAGTCAGTGAACCAAGCGATGCTTATAATCCTAATAACAATTAATAGTGCAATCGGGAAAAAAAATAAAAGGATTAATTTCATAAATGCCCCTCCGAACTTTGTACCTTATTTCAACATCCTTGAATTTTAAAAATGGTTCATTTCACCTTCTAAAGTGTGTGCCTCAGTTCAAAATGCCCCTTACATTTATAAAACTAACAAAATAATGACATGATACTACTTATGTTTTTATACATTCTCCTAATTGGTAGGTTCAATTTCCAAAAATTTTATTAAATATTTAATACTTAATTAAAAGCACGGGTGCACGACGGTTGGTATGAACGGTTATTGGGCGGTTTGAGCAGTTTTTTTTTTCTTGACGGTTTTTGAAAAGTCCAATCCATAACTGCCCAAATCTTAAGCAGATTAGGCGGTTTTTTTTTTTTACAGGTATATTAGGCAGTTTATTGGGCGGTATGAATTTAGTACCTATTGTTTTTGAACTATTAAATTAGAAATTAAACTTTTATAAACTTAGCTACTTATATAAGTATACATATTGTATAGGCATTTAAATTCATTTTTATAGATTCAAGAAGAACAATTAAATATTGCACATAGTTATGGTCATTTCCCCAAAACCGTTGATCTAAACGTGAGGCTACAAAAAAAAATGAAAATGTAATGTTGTTAACTAATTACTAAAAAATATAAAAAATAATTATTATTTGAAACCACTTGTTGGTGTAAAGTCTTGAAGCTTATAATATGTAAGAGTTGTAGGAAAACACATACACAAATATACATGCAAAAGGTGTAAATGTAGATACATAGTTAATGAAAGCTAATAAAATGAAATTAATAGTAGCATAAATAGTACAATCGCACAAGTTTCTAAAAAGTAATATTCAAATAAATTAAATTTGAAATCTAAATCATAAAATGTTAAAATAAGTAAATAGTCAACACTCACCATATAAAATCCTATAAAAAAAATATACATACATATATGATAAACAGACATGGTGATTTGAAACTGCTCAAAATTATATAAACCGCAACTATCCGTCTATGAGTGTGGATTGTAACCGCATTGCCTAAAAAATAGTGGATTGTAGCCTAAACCCATCCATAGCGGGCAGCGTAGGGCGGAGCGATTAGAGCGGTTTGCCCTTTTTTTTTTTGTGCGCCCCTAATTAAAAGACGGATCAAAATCAAAACAAAGTAATATATCTGAATTAATTAAAGAACATTTTAAAAGTTAGACATCAAAGTGTGATTGAGAATAAACATGAGGAACTACTTATAGAACTAACCCAAAAAATAATGATATAGGGCTCAGGTTTTGATGAAGAGCTCGCATGACTCTCCAAGACACAATGTTGGGGCTTTCTAGAGGTGGATTCTTATGAATTGGGACAATCCGTTGTATCCTAGGCAGCCATGTGGAGCTGCTAATCATCCATTCTGATTATCACATTGTCAGTTTTGCAAATTTATCCGTTCATCATGTGATTGAAATTACACATTTAAATTCATAATACATATCCGGTAATTGTGCTTTTCTTAATCAAATATTGTTAAATTTGATTTATATATCTTTTAATAATTATGCATCTCAATAAAACTGATATACATGTTTTTTTTTTTTCGAATTTAAAGTGATTTTATAGCAAATATTTATTGACATATGCAATGATCAATAATTCGTCGGTACTAAAAATTTACTTATGCTAATTGATTATACACGAGAAATAAAACGCAATTGTTGGTCTTAGTTACTTTTGGAAAAAGAGTGGGAGAAGGGAAGAGTTCTCGAAGAGGAAACGAATCAAGTATTATGTCTTATATGAGGAGACAAATGAGATGCTTATTCCCCTGCTTTGGAATGCACTTAATGTTAACTTTCACACTCTCACCCCATTTATTTTTTATTATAAATTAATACTCATTAAAAAAATTTAAATGTTTAAATTTAATTATATTTATTCATGCTTGTAGTTGCATGTATGCTCATAGAATTCAGATTTTTTGTTTAATTTTTAATGTCTTAATTAATATCTAATTAATCATGTTATGTTACATTATTGCATGATACATAAAAAAATTAGTTAAAAGTAATTTATTTTTTTTAAACAACGTGATTTAAGATGACTAATTAAATATCAATTGAGAGGAAGATCTGGGTTGAGCTCGAAGATGCAAAAGATTTATTACGGAGAAACGACACGTCCCTCGTACTAGTGACAACATAAACGGTAAGAACGGGGCTGGTGCCAAGTGCTGATAAAAGTAAGAATTTTTTCTTCTTTTTTTTTTTTTATTTTAAAAAAAAAAAACGAAGTAATAACTTTTTTCTTTTGAAAAATAAGGGTCAAAAACACTCTTGGCAATTTCACTCATTTACCACGCTTCTTATATACGTTGGACTGATGTCGGATTTAAAATGAATTTGGATTGCATTTATTTTGCAGACAAACCCTGAGAGTGAAAGTGAGATAAAATGTCCCGTGAAGCCGCACTGGGAGCGAGACTTGGCAGGCGGCAGATGCACCACAGCGGCGGTGGCAGCCCAGAAAGGGCACGCCTCCCAAGGCCAAATACCACGTTTTGGCAATCTCCCCCAGCATGGGCCACGCGTTTACTCCATTTCCTACCCTGTCCAACCAAAAGTGTTTTTTAAAGTTTTCAATCTAACCCAAAACAGGCTCACCCTCCAATCAGATTCCTTCCGTTGCATGCAACCGGAAGATAGTCTTCCACCACGTGTAATGAATCCAAACTTGACCGACTCAGATGATGGCAAATAGGCAAACTCAAACACTCTTCCTAAATCCGAGACTTTTTTTATTTTAAAAGGGAAAAAAAAAATGAACAGAAAATTACTTCACAAAACGACCAAACCAATCGTGATAGGTGTAGACACGCATGGCGGCCCAGACCCACACGCGTTGCGACGACAGGGCCAATTTTGGGTTGTGGATTCATGCACCTGATTGGCGTGGAGAGATGTACTCTCTCTCTCCTCTCTCTCTCTCTAAGAAAGAAGGCGCTAGCAGTAGGAGTAAAAGTTAGGAGGGCAGTGAATGGAGGGGCTCAGTTGTCAAAAACAGGGATTAACTATTTCGACGGTTCTTGTTATGTGTAAGCTTGCATGGACCCACTCAAGGGTTTGAATTCCCACATGTCATTATCCTAAGCCTCACAAACACGTACCCACCAGTACAAAATCCAAGTGTCACTTCCTCCTCCCTCTTTGCTTCATGTTGCCCTTCTCTCATTGGCCAATTCCCACCGTTAAAAAACCTCTCCTTCACCTCCTTCTTTATCCTTCTCCGGTCACAGAACCATTTCACTTTTAACCCTCCTCTGTCTTCTTTCTTCTTCACCACAATTTCCTTCACTATCATATTTCAGAAAAACTCCATATCATCAGCTTCTCTCAGGGGGCTGTTTCTTAGTCTTTGGCCACCATGATCAAGACCCTCAATCCATACGCCACCACGGCGAAAACTGCCGAGATCATGTCGAGGTATAGGCCCATAGCACCGAAGCCAGAGACACCCACAAGCCCCACAAGCGAGACAACGTCCACATCACAGAAGATCAGGCAGTCCCCTTATCTGAGAAACCTCTGGCCCCAGCTGCAAGCCAGGCCCACCAGAACCAGAAAGAGGGGCCGAGCTGCCCTGTCTCCGCCGAGTCTCAAGCGGCAAAGAACCAACAACGCTCTTGGCCTCACTCCTCCTTACAACCACCTTCCTCCCCTGCAAGGCTTCTCCACTCACGGCCTTCAACAAATTCCCACCACAAGCCTCACCTTGGAGAAGCCCGCCGCAAATTTAGTCACTCTTCCTCTTCTACCGTCAACCCCCATTGTCACCAACCAAGCTGCGGTATCGGAGCTCGACTGGATGAAAGCTTGTGGAGAAGAAAAGCAGCTCATAGACCTGAACACAGTGGCGGAAATTCCAGAGGAAAAGGATCTCCTGCAACAACTACAGCGGGTTCCGGTTCCCGCGACCGTGATAGCACCTCAGCCGGTTCGGCCGGTGGGGTCCAGCATATGCGTCCGGTGCATCAGTGAGGACCCCAAACTGGCTTCACAAGCAGCCCAAGCTCCCAAGAAACCGGAGGAGGTCGAGGAAGAGGTCGAGTCCGAGATTCTCCCCGCCGTCATATCGGATTCCAACAACAAAGTGAGGATGGCGAATTCCGCTTACAAAGAGATGGTGGGTCAGCCCGAGTGTTCGTGGCTCGATTCAATGATGACCAGTTCATGCAAGAGAATCGGCGGGGAAGTGATCCTGCAGCTTTCCGATTCCAGAGTGCCGATTTCCTCAAATGGGTTCTCTTGCTGGGTGAGGATAGAATGGGGTAGTGATGAGAATAAGAACTCCGTTAATGCTTTCTGTGACGTTATAAGGCTGTCCTGTGAGTCCAAAGACTACGTCTTCACTTGGAGGTTCCACATCCACCATACCAGAGAAGCTTCTCAATCAAGCTGTAATGTATGAGTTTGTGTATAATGTACATATATTAGCTTAGTTTTGTTTAGTTAGCTAGAAAATTCTGCACCTTAGTCTGCTAAATTGTAATTGTATGTCTTCAACATCGAGTATAGTTCTATTAGATGTTGTTTTTAGTGTCCCAGACCTCGCTCTTCAAAAGAGGCAATAAGTATGTGATAGTGTGAAATTTATATTATTCATAAGCTTGTCCATTACATTTATTTACAAGAGGGAAGCGCATTACAAAACACACAGAAGATACTGATACTATGATATTTCATTGTTTACACCAGTAACAAACAGATGACAGATATACATATATATATATATATATATATATATATATATATATACTGTGATATTTCATTGATTAACGCTAACATCCTCACAAACCCCAAGACGGGAATTTTTAGCACCAATAGTAGGATCTTCCAAATGTTCGAGTTAATCGTCGCCAAGAGTAGGGATATTCCAAATATGCGAGTTAAGCATCGTCACTCTTTGAAGTTGTCTGCATATGATTGGGGCTGGATAAAATCCAAACGGAAAACGTCAGCAGTCGGGGACAAACAAACCAAACCAAAACCATAATTTTATAAAAAGAACCACAAACAATTTTTCCCTTAGCAAAAAAATTAAAATGCGAATACTCTTTTGTATTATTTTATTGTTTAGGCTCCGTGATGTGATGGGAAGTAGGGGAATAGAAAGAATATAGAAGATTATAGTAATCTTCATATTATTTGGTTGAAAGACGGAAAGAGTTGAAAAGATAGATTATATTGTTTATTTTATTTTTTAAAAATAAATAATTTATTTTGAATGATAGAAAAGTAATTTTATTTAAATTGAAGTGGATTGATAATTTAAAATGATTTTATTATTTTTTTAAAATAAATAATTTATTTTGGAGGTTAAAAAGGTAATTTTATTTAACTTTAAGTGGATTTATTAGATCTTTCGTTGATGAAATGATAAGTTCGGAAGGAGACTTTCTCTTTATATTTCCTTTTCTTCATCTTACCAAATAAAGAATTCACCCTTTTCCTTTACCACTCTTCTTCCATCCTTTTCTCTCCCTCTAATGAAATTTCACCCTTTTCCTTCACTCTTCTTCCACCCCTTTCTCTCCCTCTAATGAAATTTAAAATGATGGATTCAAAAGGAGACTCTTCCTCCATATCTCCTCTCCTTTATCTTATCAAATAAAGGAATTTACCTTTTCCTTCCACCACTCTCCTTCCATCCTTTTTCCTCTCTCTATCTCTGCCTCCTCTACCAAACATAAGGTTATGAGTTGTAACTAGTTAAACCAGGGAAGGGGGAAGGTGGTGGTGGGTGGGATGGGGAACAGGTAGGTACAAAAGAAAAAGCTTGGAACCATATTCGTTTATTTACTTGAAAAGCTTGTAATTATGGTTCCAAATATACCGTCTCAAAGAGGAATCTTATTTTTCCTTTTTTTTTTTAATCCCACCCTTCAACGGGTGAAGAGGTGGTATGGATCACCCCGGTGCGTTAAATTATTTTAGATCTCGCATTCTGCTTTTTTTTAAAAAAAAAAAAAAAAAATTATAACAATTTAGAGCTAAAAACTGTTCACAATGAAAATCAAATAGCTTAAAATGTTTACTAGTCTGCAGCTTCAAAAGTGCCCCGAATCCCGATAACAAAGTTACAGTGCCGTCCTATTTTGATGAAATGTCAAGTTTCAGTGATTAGTGATCAGTGAAAAGCCAGAGAAACATCACAAACCTTTAGAAGTGGGGTATGACGCTTTTTGACCTGCACACAAGATGAACACGGCAATCGTGTACAAGATGATGAATAACCAACTGGTGAAAACTTTCAAAATCAAATCAGTGTAAATCAAAGAGCAGGGTAACATATTCAACACATATCTAACAATGCCTTTTAGTACAACAATACTGTTTTCAATTAAGCTTTGCGTATGTATTATAATAAAGGTAATCAACCCATATGTCTTATTAGTTATTATGAAGACACTATAACTAGGGGAGAATTTAGTTCCACAGAAGAAGAACAACTTGAAGGAGTCCATACCACGTAATCCCAACCGTATTACTCGGCAATTGCTTTCGCAGCTTCTTCACTGTCAAAACTTAATGCCGCTTCACCAACATTAGCATATGGGTCCCCTGTGGAAGTCCCAACCCATCAATGGATTTTCCCACCTGAACGTATCTCAATCAAACGAAATAAGGTGAGGAAAACCACCTAATATTAACGAACAAAGGTTCAATAAAGCTTCTTCTGGGAAGATAAATCTTGTTAGAATAAAAGCATTTGCTTTCTTTTCCTCCCGCTTTAGTGTTTATGGCTTGTGCGCACACACATACCAGCCTCATAAAACATAAATAAGACTTGTCTAGTTCCGAAATGGAAGGATAAAACAAAATTGTTGAGCGCCAATTTTCTATAAACTAGTCTTATAATTGCAAACGGTCTCCTGCATTTGAATCCCAATCGACATAATTTAAGAAGAAAAGAAAAATACAAGTAATTTTCTTCGGGAAAAGCTTCAAATCTGACATAAAAACTGTCAATAGACAAAGCACACATACTTTTGTGTAGACAGGAAATCAATTTTCAATTTCCCAACTTTTCCAAAACCCTGTTGTGAAAGCTGTTCGGGCAGGTGAGTAAATCACAACCTGAAAATTCAGTGAAAACCATTTCAAATATGTTCGGAACCTAACTCAGAAAATCAGCCAAAACACCAATACCACACTCACACACACCCGAAACAACAAGAAAATAAGAGTAATTAGAGAGAATTTTATTAATCAAATCAGCTAAGAACACCAAATTATACTGAAATATAAATGATAGATCGGAGATTTCGAGCTCTTCGGCACTCCCAGCCGTTCCGGCAACACACCCAACACTCAAAAGATAAAAATACTCACTGCCTAAACCTACTGCCCTTCCCCCATTCAAATTACTCCCAGATTAGCCTCCTTGTCACGTCAACCCATCCTAGCCACTTTCAATATTTTCCCTTAGGCCCCTAACTCTGTGTTTTCTACCCGTTTTGCCCCTCCTAGAAGTGTAAACTTGCTTCAAAACCCCCCTCTCGAGCAACCTTGTCCCTAAGGTTGAAGTCGGGGAATTGTTGGTGGAGGGCGGATAGGGGTTCCCAAGTTGCCTCCCATTCAGGCATACCTTCTCATTGGACGAACAAGTCCAAGTCATGTGGCCCTCCCTCTCAAGCTCGTCATGCGCGTAAGATGGCCGCGGGGCGGACTAGAAGCTCGAGCTCCTCTGGAAGATGCGGCAGCAAGGGGGGGGCAGTTGGGGGGTCTCCCTTGAAGGCTTTGAGTTGGGAAACATGGAACACCGGGTGTATGCGAGCATCCTCCGGAAGCGAAAGACGGTAAGCAACATTGCTAATCTTCTCAGTGACCTCAAAGGGACCATAGTAGCGGGGTGCCAACTTCTCGTTGAACTTATTGGCCAAGGATTTCAGCCGGTAGGGCCTAAGCTTGAGAAGAACAAGGTCGCCCGGTGCGAAGTGCACATCACGGCGGTGAGCATCGGCAAACTTTTTCATGGTTTGCTGTGCCCTCTCCAATTGCTCCTTGAGCTCATCCAACATGGAGTTACAAAGCTGCATCTGCTTGTCGATTTCAATATCCAAGGAAGGAGTATCTTGGAACCAATATAACACTGGGGGGGTCCCGACCATAGACGACGCGAAAAGGGGTATACTTAGTAGAAGCATTGTATGTGGTATTGAACCAATACTCCGCCCACGGAAGGAACTTCAGCCACAATTTCAGTTTCACACCAGCAAAGCACCTCAAATAAGTCTCCAGACAATGGTTCACCACCTCAGTTTGGCCATCGGATTCAAGATGATAGGCGGAGCTAGTGTG